ATATATATATACATATATATATATAAATGTATGTATACATATGTCGTCTTAGGGAACACCTTGAAAAACGTCATGACCTCATTGTAACTCATAAGGCTTGTGGCATCACCTTATCGCCACGCCATGCCTCGCGTCATTGAAAACCTTATCAAAAATACCCTTCTTGCTCCGTTAAATGATAATCTACCACGTTTCCATGGCCATGTTTCTAGGCTCTAGCTACCTGGCCATGTGGAATTGCTTGCTTTTTTATACACATACATTTAGTCGTATTGTATTACTTGCCCAATTTCTTTGGTTGTTGCTTCACGGCAGGGATCATAGCTTCTTCTGTTTGGATAGATACTTAATTTGGTTGCTTTTGAATGCTAGTCTATTTGACCCAACTCTAACTCCAACTCCATTTAAACTTGATCATTTGTATTTAGTCCACTTTCTTCAACCAATTGTTTGTACCACTTTTCTTTTTAATTATTTGGTCTAGCTTCCAATTTCGATCCATAATCCATCATTTCATTGAATAAATCCTATAAAATAACTTGTAAAAACAATAAAAATACCCAACTACCCCGGCCAGAATTAAGTAGAAACAAATAAAAACCATATCTAAATGATTAAAGTAGACGGAAAATGCATTCTTAAACTAATATAAATGTATGCACAAAATGCAAATAACAAACAATGAACACCTCACTCAAATTATTAAAGACATGGGGACTAAGATAACCAAACGTGAACATGGGTTTGTTCTTATAACACCCAGACTTTCTATTTAACTTTAAGGTTAGAATTCATCCCTAAGATCACCTTTTTGTCTTAAATCTAAATATCCTTGAGTATTTTATAAGCAGTTCGTTTGGGGGTGGTTAGGACTCAAAGAAAATGAAGTTTAGGAAGGAAAACAGTGTAAAACGTGGGTATCAAGCGACCTAAGCCATAAGAAAATCGCCTTAGGGTCTGTTTAGCTGACTTAGGAACCGCACCGGCGGCTTTGGTGCGGTCTAACCCGCATCAAGGTCGTGCTAGACACTATTTGCGCATGACCTGAAGGGTGCGGACGGCTTTAGTCCCACCTAACCCGCATCAGGGTCAGGCTAGACACTGTTTATGTGTGAACTGAAGGGCGCGGGCGACTTCCATACGTCCTACACTGCATCGAGGTCGCGTGAGTCACCTGTTGGTGGCTTAAACCTGATTTTGGCAAGTTTTTCCTCATGTTTCTCCATACTCCTTCTCTCTCACTTCATTTAAACCACCAAGAACCCTAGGTCCAATCTTGGGTGCATTTAAGGAGCATTTATTGGTAGTTATCTTCAAGCTTCAAGAGTTATCTTGTGAAACCAAGATCTACACATCCACTTCATCATTTTGCTAGGTTTTGGGTTTTCCTCCAAAACCTAATTTGTGAGTTCATTCTTTACTTTTACAAAACCATATATATGTTAGAATGTTAAAATGATGTATTTTATTTCCTCTAAGTTTTCATTTCAAGTATTTATGCATTTGGATGATTTTGACCATATAAGTCAAACTTTGGTATATTGGAGATTTTGATGAAACAAGTGTAAGGAATGGTTTAAAACCTTTGGGAAATGAATATTTCTAAGTATTACTGGATTTGGAACTTAAAACTCTAATGTTCTTATATTTGGAATTTTGTCAACAAAATGAAAATTTATCACTTGACAGGCTTTTGTACATAAGATTACCTATAATGGGTAAAGTTTGATATATCTAGTATAGATATAAATTTATGAGTAGAATGCAATGGATCCATAGACTTAAAAGTTTGTTTTTAATGAGTATGTAGGGATGTTATTCCCTAGTTGTAACTTGAAATAGGCATTAGTCCTTGTATGCAACAAGATGTGGAATTTTAGAGTCGCGCATCGGCCAATGACCACATAATGTAGTTCTAAGTGAATTAGCTATTAGATATTTCATGGTAAGGCTTATATGGTTGAAGTTGGGAATTCCACAAGCAAAAGACTTACTTTAGCTTGTCAATTCATTAAACTATAAGACCTGGAGGGGTTGATCTTAATGATTGATTATTCGTCAGTGATGCTTATAAAAGATTGAATTAATGACTTACTTATGTATTCCTTCATGATCAATGGTAATGGGGTCTCCCCCGTCATCTCATGATATTTTATGCCCTTCCAAGATTAAATATGAGTTAGTTGTACACAATAATTGATCAAAGCTATATTTTCCATTTTACTATTTCATTGCTTTAATCAATAACAATATGTTCTCAATAGGTGTTAAGCCAAACACTTTTTTTTCAAATGACATATATATCTGGTTCTCTCAGCGTTGGGGCTTCGAAGTCTTGAGCGGAGTGACTTGATCTCAATAGAGGCACTTTTTGGGATTGATAGTTTTGAAAAATTGGGCGTTATATTTTGACATAATCTGAACTTAAAATAGTTTAGATTAGTAGGTTGCTATTTATCTTCTATTTCTTTGGATTGTAAACGCTTCACAATTTCCCCTTCTTGGGTGATTTTATTTATATAAGTGTTTAATCTGTACCAGTTTTTGTGGTTTAAATTACTCCTATTTTAGGGGTGTTACTGTTCTATCACATATATGCAGTTAATTAAAATTCTAAGGGGGCATATGCGAGCTCAATAAGGTTGTTACACCTCACCTGATCGGACTTAGGTATTGCATCAAAGTGACTATAGTTGTTGGTTCCAAATTGAAGGAAGAGATTGAGGGATATTATGGGTCACACAAGTTCAAGATGAGCTAAGAAAACTTAAGCTAGGTCATGAGAGAACTAATGGCTCATAGATAGGATATGTACTTCTATTTCTATTTATTTTTTTTCTAAATTGTTGTCTTCTAAAACAAAAGAATGTTTAAAAATGAAACCTAAAAGATCGAAAATATGGGTTATGTAATAATGAGTTCATTGAACTACTCATATATTCATTCATGTTATTTAAATTCCATTTATGTATGTACTAAAAATTTCTCATATGTTTGTATTTGTTAGTATAGGTCTTGGCATCTTGTTATCCTCAAATAAAGGGAGCATGTGATATATTAGATTTGATGATTGACAACCAACTTATAAACATTTAGTCAATTGGGTTAGTTTTAGAGTAAGCGCTTGGAGCTATTAATTGTTGTTGGTATCAACAACTAAAGAAGCAAGCAAAAGAACCCAATGACCAAGCTACTAAGACTGGTTAGTTGGTGAAGGTATGGGATATGGAACTGAGAAGTTGTGCACCTAAAAAAAGGTCAGTGGTTGAGCAACGAATCACCTAACGAGGATTTCAGTTGGAAGATGTCGACAATCAAAAGGCCAAAACCATAATATGTTGAGAAAGTCTTCGACTAAACGGACAAGTCCTCAACAGTTAGTACCTAACCACTTGAATTCCATCTTCAATAGATAAAAGGACAACAAGTCCTCTAACAAACCTGAAAATATGCATGTCGAAAAAAAAAGAACTTGGAGCACAGAAGACTTAAAGGAATGGCAAATGCAACATCCAACGTAATCTTTTGATCGTCCAACAAAGCTGGTGGACTTCAGCCACGTGGCATACTTTTCTCATTTATGAAGGTATACATACCAATATCTTTAGCAAAGGGAATGCAACAGTGTGAATATGGTCATGTACAAGCATTCAAACCAACTCATTGTGCATCCAAATGTTCAAAGCATCAACCTATATGAGTATTCTCAAGTTCTAACGATAGTCATATGGTTTATGGATAGAAAATTATTAGGGTGAGTAAGATATAGTGTAAGAGCGAACTCGATGAACATTTGTCAATGGTAAAATTTATTTGAGGGTTTAATCATTTGTTTATTTTGTATGTTATTTGGAAACCGATTATTTATTTGTAAAGTTGGAACTTAGAAGTTYATAACGAAACTAATGTATTTAACCCGCTTATTTTACCTTTYGTATTTTGATATTGTTAATCCATCGAGGACCAAGAGGAAACAATATCTCTCTGACTATGTGACATACAATTAGAAGTATAGTTCTTTATTTATCGAATTCCTGGTCAATTAACAATTGAAAACTTTTGGTTCAGGTCGTCTAAAGAATTCTTCACCGTGTTGAATTAAGTGATTTAAGATCACAGCGTCATTTAAGATTTTTGACCCTCTCTCTCAATATAAACTTTTGTACCTTACCAGTTGAATTTCNCGTTAGTACCACCAACTATAGCCATGCCCCACGAGAAGCACCATCCATTACAATGAAACATAGGCAATGACCAAAGGTATGTAGGCATCTCTCGCACACCATGTATGAACATTGTGGCAAGGGAGTTWAGATAAGCGCCTCGGTGGCTAWAAACCACCCCTTTTGGACTTGATGTGGTTCCAGATGTATAGTTTAAACTGATGGGATCACATTCATCATGAGRCCGAACTACAGAGAATTCAATAACTCCACTCTCTACAAGGCTCTCGTAATCATATTTATGGGTAAGGGTCAAGGAGGACTTGTAGTTGGGTTCAGATATTATGAAAAGGCGAGGGGCTTTTGAGTGTGTGTTGTTGAGAAGACTGAGAGCGTCCTTAGCAATTTGCAATAGTTGGTAGTCGACAAAGAGAATTTTGGCTTCTGAGTGCTCGAGAAGTTTCGAGATCATACTTGGATTCAGACGTGTGTTGAGAGGACAAATGATAGCTCCAGCCATGGGAATTGCGAAATGAAGTTCTTGCGCTGCTGGGATATTTGGGGCTAGTGTCGCTACCTACATCCGTAACTTTTATTTTAGGAACCAATATGAAGGTGACATAATAAACCAACAATTATGACACCTCTGTGAACGTTTTTAACGTATTTTGAACCAACAATTAATTATGCTTTTAACGTCATTTGAACCAACGTTAACTTTTATAGCTTTTTGAATGGTTAAAAGCCTTAAAAATGATGAGATTAATTAAATGGAACCCTAATTAAAAACCAATCACGCTGAGATTAAATCAAGTGGCTGTATTATTGCCATCTATAGAGTGTTATTTATTGAGAATAAGTGGGTGTTTAAGAGTTTGAATATGTTGATCATTAGACCGTTATTTGGTAGTCTACCTCAAACATTTTTTAGGTATTCAATTTTGCCTCTGGGAGGGTATGCCTTCTTTATTTTTGTAYGTTTCTCGAGTTTTTCTAACAACAAAATTTTCGCGGGTTTTGTCACTTTTATCAAAAAATAAAAATAAAGTTGTTTGGACGGGCATRAACGAAATAAACGTAAATACTTACAACGTCACCACGAGAAACCCCTAAGCGGTTAAGAGCAGATGCAAGCTTAAGACACCTATGATGTGTTTCTTCCCATGTGTACTTGATGGACCCATAAATCATGGATGTCCGGTTTCTATAAACTTCAGCCGCTCGCTCCAAGAAGCTAATGGGTGATAAAGGAACGTAATTAACTGAGCCTCGGACCACACCCTCCGGCGGTTTCCATGAATCCTGGTTCAGTGATCTCTCCCTAGATTCAACCAAGTGAGTCTCTTGGGGAGAATTCTGACATTGAACCTTGCAATAACGGTTTGCGGCAGTGAGGGAACCCTGGTGAAACCTGGCATATGACTTCTTGAAGATCTTGTTCACGTTTATGGTGGTAGCCTGGTAAGAGGAAAACTGTTTTGGATTAATGTGGTATGTGTCATATGTAGACTGTAGTAGCTGTAATCAAATTAATTTTGAAAATCCCTAATAACATGCACTCTTTTTCTAAGCAAATGGCGAGTCCGCAAACGAAGACAAGGTTTATAACTCGAAAGGGAAAATAAAAGAAGAGTTAGCAACACTGAAACACAATTATCTTCATACCTGATTCTCATATGCATACAAGCCATTATAGTTTAAGGTTGTGACCATCATACCTGCATGATTTGATTGATCATCATACCATGAAGATCATCTTATTCAACAAAATATTAAATAGGAAATCCAAATCTTGCGTTGCAGAATTTTATTAATGAACACTTGACTTATAAATCGGCTATGATAGTTATGGAAACTATATAAATATATACATAATTATCCCC